GTCCCGAGATTACCGGGTGTAACCGACGGTCCCGAGATTACCGGGTGTAACCGTCGCGAGATTAGCGGGACTACCACCCATAAGTAGAGGACTTCACTCCACGATCAGGTACGGTGATTTCTGACCTCGAACTAAACTGGGAATCCGACCTATACTGACTTGATCGTCGGAGTGCTCACCTTTTTGTGCAGGTCCGCCCAAGTATTCAGATCGGTCCGGAGGCCGAGTTCGAGTTGCAATCTGAAATACACTGTTGTGCATATCCTTGCATAAACAAAATTTATTGAAGTTAGCTATCATTGTGTTGTTTCAAGGTGAAACGAAACTAGTGTTCACTTCGTTGATAAGAGTTGTTTAGTTGATGATTTATGAAACTTAGTAAGGTTGCTTAGTTGAGGTCAGGGAATAAAATGTAGTTATTCACTTGATTGAAATGTAGTTATTCACTTGATTGTTTTGAGTTGAATAAGATGTTTTAGTAATCTGCCCCATTTAAGTTGTTTGAAATTTGGGAGAGTTACAAAATCAATAAGCAAACAGATCATAGAGACCGAGGTCGGATACCAACAAACTGATTCAACCCAGCAATTCGACGTAAAATCGAAGTTCCAAATGTCTATAATTATGATTTACATTAACCAATTATAGATATTTAGAAATGAAAAACGCATCTCGTTTTGTTTTGAAGTATTAAGAAGCGCAAACGATTATTTCAAAGAAAACTCTCTTCTCAAATATTAAGAAACACATCCCGTTTCCTTTCTTTCAAATATTAAGAAGCCTCGACGATTACTATCCGCTAAAAAAATAGGAAGGAAAAAAAAGGGATAACAACGGATTTAGCCATTTAAAATAGTCAATTTCAAAAGATAGCCAAACAACTTTAAGTTTTCAATAATGGCCAAGGTAAAAATACGAAAATCTTTATTAATTTTTTAGTTACGAAATTACCCTCTGTAAAATGATTTTAAAATGAATATATTATTTTCCGTTTTTTATAGGAGAATCTTATCTATATTTTTGTGTACCTAGATAATTCAAATATTTTCAAAATCTTACCTAACTTAAATATTTTCCCAATAAATTTTTAGATAATTATACTAACAAATCTATAAAAAAAGTATAATTCATTAAACAATAAAATCATTATCGAAAATGATACTAAGAATCTTAAAGAATATATAATACACGTCAATAAACAAAATGTAATTAGAAACACAAATACTAAGACCCAAAACAATGTAGTTAGAAACAGAAAAACTAAGACTCAAACAGAAATACTAAAACCCAAAACAAATAGATGAACACGTAACGGATGAACAAATAACAAATACGGCGAACAGATAACAAATAATAAATACGGCGAACAGATGAACAAATAAAAAATACAGCGAACAGAGGAACACATAACAAATACGGCGAACAGAAGAACAAATAACAAATACGACGAACAGAAGAAGAAAAAATGTGAACAAATAAGGTGAACATTAAGAAATAAGGTGTATTTTTGTGAAAATTAATACAAAAAAATATAAAAAGCACTTTACCTACACAATATGTAGAAATTCAACATGTAGGCCTCTTTCTCCTCCGCTACCGCTGCCCCACTTGCAACAAGCTCTATCACTCACCACGTTGCCCCACCGTTGTCCCTCACCTAATAAGATTTCTGTTGTCTCCCTTTCTCCCATCTCTCATCTCTGATCCTCCATGTGTGATGTCTCTAGTGAGTTCTGTCCCCACGTATATATTAAAGAATAGTGGTTAGCAAAAAAAACTAGAATCAATTAGGGATAGAATCTACGAAAAATGAAGGAAGTTAGGATATTTGATTTTAAAAATAATAATAAAATAAAAAAGGTAGAAATGTCAAAATCAAACCTGCAAAATAGTTAGAAAAATACGAATGAACATTTTTCATTATAAAATATTATTTAGCCATTTTTCAAAACTGGATGATAAATAGAGACACCTATTGTAAATTCTCGAAAAAAAAACCTTCTTCTCCGGATCTGGGCTTTTCTTGGAAGGTAGGGGAAGATTTGAAATTGTTACCTCTCGAGAAATTGGAGAAAACCCTAATCCATGTTTCTTCGCGTACAGACTTCACGAATCTTTTTAACAAAAAATGAGTGCTTCAAATGGACTATTTATCATAGTTTATATCGTCAATATCTAATAGTTAGATTTGTGAATTATTTTACATAATAAGAGTTAGATTTCATTTTATCCCACAATTATGTACTTTTATGTTTATCTATGAACAGTGCTTTAATTTAGCAAAATAGACCAGACGAGGTAAGTTTGAGTATAACAATAACATAGCAGTTCAAAGTTTTCAAATACATATTTATGTGTCCATTTTTTCTTTTCAGATTTATTTCATCACATATTTTATATGAATGTTAATATTATCCTACATTGCACTACAAGAAATATGGCTTTCAATAGCTTTTGGGCGTAACACTTTTAGAAATGGGCTATAGAAAGTAAATGAAAAAAAGGGAGGAAATGGAGAAATAAAAAAACTTTGGCGCCTACTCAAATTTTTTTAGGGTCTCCAATTAGAGTCACCTTCTTCTGTTCCATTTTCTATACCCAGACCTTAGCTTCCTTCGTGTTCGAGGATACGAAAGTCGCCGCCTCCGCATTACTTCGGCCGTATCTAAACGTTGTCGTCGCCTTCGTAGTTTCAGATCCGAAAGCTGCCGTCGTCGCAATGTTACAGCAAGATCCAAACGGTGCCGCCA